GATCTGGAAACCCGATGACCCCAAGGTAGAAAAACTGTGATTAATGGGGAAGATCCTTTCCCAAGAAAGGATCAATATGAATTGTCTTCATAATGTGTTAATGGTTTCATGGAATCCTAGGACGCTTTTACAATGTTTGAGATTGGAGAAAAAATCTATCTGTTTTAATCTCTAAGATTGGAGATCTCAACAAGGCTCTACATAGAGAACCTTGGAATTTTAGTAATCTACCGTTTATTCTTAAACATTTTCAAGCCTCTTTAATAGTGGAGTAGTATAATTTTTCTACAAATCCTTTTTGGGTTTGAATCTTTGATGTCCTTGTTGGTATGCAGTTAAAGCAAATTGGACTTACAATTGGGAATTCTTTGGGGGAAGGTTCTGGAATTTGACGAAGGTTTTTGCGAGGCAATCTAAGTTCAAATTGATTTGGATGTGAATCAGCACTCAAGAACATTTAAAACTTCTCATATTTCTGCTATGAATTGCAAGAAACTTTGGATCAAATATGAATGACTTCCAGAGTTCTGTTTTTGTTTGTGGATGCATGGGCCACCTTGAAAATAGCTGTGAAGTTGCCAACCATATCAAAGATGGTGGAGGTAAAATTGTTCGTTGATATGGATTGTGGTTAAAAGTTGAATTGGAACATTTATGGTGCCCAGATGATCTTGATCTTTTAGATGAAACCTTTATTGCAAATACACATTCTCTAGTTGGCGATAAGATTGAAGGAAACAAGGAGCATTATGAGACTATAGCTAACAGAGCAAGCCAGGGAGAAGGACACAATGATACTGTTGCTAGAGATCTAGAGGCAAATGATAACGTGACTAGCAATGCAAGCCAAATGCAAGGGAACAATGCTCTTGGTGTGGGAGAAATTGCAGTTGAAATAGCTCAACCCCTAATGCTGTTGTAAGAGAAATGACTTTGGTAGGGAATATGGAAAACATTGATGGTTTGCCAAGTTTGATGAGTGAACAATTAGTGGAGATACCTTTAGCCCTTGGATTTGATGGTGTTAAATAGTTGATAAGGCAAGGAAATGGTGCAAAAGGAGGTCAAGGCAAATGGAAAAGAATAAGACATGAGGTGGGGTCCTTGGTGCATATGGACAAACTTACTTGAGGAAAAAGAAAGGGTAGTATAACAATTTTGGAGGAACAAAGGGCTAATAAGGTGCTCTTAAATAATACAGGGGTGACTATGATTCTTGATGAGGTAGATGGCACTATTTTGACCATGCGGGTGGATAATTTTCATCCATCTACTAGTTAAATATCAATTGTGGATGGGTAGAGCATTGTAGTGTTGGGAGACACTATATTGCCAAGTCCACTGATATCCTATGCTAGGTTTGGGTGGAAAAATACATGTGATTGCCAACAGTGTCAATAAGGTCTAATGCACTCTTTCTATGTTTTTGCATAGCTCTATTGATACTCCTATGACATATACTAATATTTAGAGGTTTTCAGTTCTTAATTATCACTATTTGTATAGAATATTTAATTTTATATGTTGGTGTCAGAGATCCATCCTAGTTTTTTTCTTTTTCCTACTCAACCTATATGGCAAGGTATAATTTGCCTTGTAATTGTTTTTTAATTATTAATACAATTGTACTTCTTATCAAAATATTATTTTAATAAAATTAATTTACTTGTTTTTTTGTTTTAGGGATAGAGATTCTCACAAGACGAAAATTTTTTTTTTTTTTATGAAATTTCATGGGAGAAATATGCCTCCATTCCCACCTCACAAATCCTTTCTGCCCTGTCCACGTGGCGGGGATGCCAATTGCCACCCTTAACTAGCTTCAATCGTTCTCAGTGTCTTCTGTTATTTTGCCTTTTCTTGAGAGCCTTGGCTTGTTCACTAGTAGTTGTGGTTGAATTCAGCACTGAATCAAAAGTTAAAGACTCATCCCACAAAGGGATATGCAAAAAGTTCATAATTTTAGAATACAAGCAAAATCAACAATAGGAGATCCATAAAATTAGTATTTCTCACTCAAATTGAGATATTTCTTAGCTCAGTAATTTGTTCATTTCTTCTTGGTGTGCTTAGCTTCAAGTGATATGAGAACTACATTCAGCTCTAATAAAGAACAAATATAGGCAACTGATTTAGGTACGACGATAAACTAGACTGGCTTGAGAGCACATGGGTGTGGACTCAAATACCATACAAGGTGGGGAAGATAAGTGAGGAGGATCTTAAGTGATCTTAATTGTCAATTTTAACATTCTCTTTGCTAATTAAAAAAACTTCAATGAAAGACACTTACGGAGGGAATGGAAGTTGGGATTTTATGGAGCGGCCTTCCCCAACTCTACATTTGAATAGAAACTATATTTTTCGAAGCCATCCATGAGCACTGACTCTTGGAGAGCCTCCGATGCACTCGCAAATCCATAGATTTATGGAGGGGAAAACCATGTGGAGTAGAGAAGAACGATGCAGAACGATTGATCTTCACTCGACTGAGAAAGGTATTCAAGATCGGGCTGTTGACTTTAAAACACGCGAAGACTCGCATCTTGCGAGCGAGATAGAAGCACCGCATACAAATTGTAGGAGTCGTGCGGTCCAAATGCATCTCTTTACAAATTTGGAGATGGGTTTTTACTAGCCATTTTGCAGATCTGGTTGGACACCTTGATTCTGCAGGCATTGTCGTTTCTAGGATACCCCTCCTTTAAATATGGTCTCTACTTTCTTGTTTTGGATTTTGTATTCATTATCTTTAAGTTGATGTTTCGATAAAAATTAGTAAAAGAAAGGAAGCAAGGGGAGGGGAAGGAAAGAGAGGAAAAGTGAAGGGAAGAGAAAGATTGATATTAATTTTGTTTGAATAGACAAAAACAAAAGAAAAGAATGATAATATTTTTGTTTAATTAAATAATTTAATAAAAAATAAAATAAA